AATGGTTATAGACATCTTTGGTCCCACCTCCAAAGCCAGAATTGTTTGCAAAAGACAGTCTATGGCCTATTGGTGTACTGATCACCCAAATAACATTTCTAAATAATACTTTACTTTCATAATGGAAAGGAAATAAATTCATATTATGAAAAGAGAAACATATCCCACTATTCCACCTTCCTTGCTTTTTTGTTGATTGATCTGTAAAATCACCCTCTACCCATGCCATTCATAAAAACAACTTGTTCAAAAACTGTAAACTTCCAGACTTAGCTCAAGTACTAAGACTTTATACAGCCTTTCCATTCATAAGAGGAAGTAGATCAGAGATAAGAGAATAATCAGGAAGCCATTACAATGGCCCAAGGGAGATAATGAAACTCAATTTTCATAGCAGGCTTGTGTTGGGAAGGAAGCATTTCAGAGAGGTTGCAGAGGTTACTATAGGTGGGAGGAAAGGGAGGAGTAATGGGTGAGAGGAATTCATGACTATCTCCACAGTTGACATAAAGCAACATATATAATAAAAAATAATATATAAACAAGATCTCGGATGTCTTAATTCATTGATAAAATTCTCCCCAGGCTGTATAACTATTCCTTGGATTTGCTATGTTCCTGTGCTAGGCTTCTGATACCAGCCCTGCATTTGAACTTGGCCCTGGGATTCCTATTGGCCCCTAATCAATTAACATTCCTGGATGCTCTGATGCCTGCTAGACCTGTACTATTCCCCTGGTTTTCCTCCTTTGAAAGTGCTGAGATGTTTGTCTAAAAGAAGGACATTAAGAGTGCAGTATGCTTTCAGTGATGTGCAGCATGAGCCCCTGTAGGGGAAAGAATGCACTATGCTAGAGAAACTTTATTTCCATTCTCAATGCATCCCTAAAAGCCATGGTTTGTAAGTTTTTGTTCATAAAAAGGGAACATGCGGGCACCTTTACTGTCCTGTGCAGGGCTATTTTTAATTTTTGTTCTTCGTTCTTTTTCTGTGCTTGTGATTTTAAAGGTGCCAGACTGACTGCCCTCGAGCCTAGTGTCCCTGATTTCTCCCAAGAATAGGAAAAATATCTGAGGCAGCAGAGCTGGTCATGTCTGGGGCCAGCATATTCACCTGACCCACTCTGGAAGAACATTCTCCAAAATATAAAGGAAAAAAATTGTTCCTTAGGAATTCAGCCCATCTCCTTTCATAGATGAGAAGACAAAACCTTATGCCAGCACCAAATCATTGCAGAGTTTTTGGGTTCAATAAGCATTTGAAAAAACTAGGTTTTGTGTTGTTGTTTTCTCTTCCATTCCCACCTGTCAGAATTCCATCCTTTATGGTTGGGCTCAAATATTTCTTTCCCCATAAAACTTTCCTGAGCCTTCTCAGATGCGATTTTCCTCCCACATTTTATTGCACTTTCCCATAGTGACACTTTTCTCATGTGATTGTGGAATCTATATAGTCCCCTAATGACTGTAAAAGATACTGATATTGTCTGATCCACTGTTGTATGTCACAGGGAAGCCAAATATAGTACTGGACAAAAAGTAGATAGCCGGGGAATGTCTTGAAGAGAATGAGAATTCCAACGCTTATCTTTTCAGCCTTACCTTCAGGACTCTTCTCTCATCTTTCCATCTAATCAGTGATGGAAATCTCCCCCAGGTTCTCAGACTGTCTATCAGCCTTGTAGGCCCAGACTCTTGGACTCCAGATATTACCCTTTGGGTGGTTGTGGTCTAGATTATTACTCCTACCTGCCTTGTAGACCAGCATTACCAACAGTTGATAACATCTGATTGAAACCATTTTTTCCACCAGAGATCACTAGTAGTCCCTGATGCATTATCAGGGAATCCAATTTGATGTCTAGAAAGGGAATTAATTAAAAATAATTTTGTTGACCTGCACTTAACTAATTTAAAATTTGAAATTTTTAAATTATAATTTTCTCAGGAAGCCAACTGACTCTTTTTTAGTTTTAGTTTTATTGCTGAGGGTATTACAAATGTCCCCGATTTTCCCACCTTTTGCCTTAGTCCACCCAGCACCTGCCCCAATCCTGGCCTCAACTGTACTATCGTATTTGTGCATGGGCTATGCATATATGCATATAAGTTCTCTTAGTAATCATCACATTATAAAAATATCAAAAGTACCACAAAACCTCTTTTGAATTGTTTTTTAATCAACCCTTAGTAACAGTGCCATTCAGCTCAGAATATTTTCATGTCACTAGTAGGACTTTTTCTGCTGATGTTAAAGCTGTATTTTTCTTTTATTTTTAATATATTTTATTGATTTTTAAAAATATATATTTTATTGATTTTTTAAAAATATATTTTATTAATTTTTTTAGAGAGGAAGGGAGAGAGATAGAGAGCTAGAAATGTCGATGAGAGAGAAAAACATCGACCAGCTGCCTCTTGCACACCCCCTATGAGGGATGTGCCCACAACCAAAGTATATGCCCCTGACCGGAATAGAACCTGGGACCTTTCAGCCCACAGACTGATGCTCTACCACTGAGCCAAACCGGTTTCAGCTAAAACTGTATTTTTCATTATTTACTATTGTATTACATTTTTCTTCAGATAAACCAAAGGCGATCGGTGATTTAAATATGAATCATTAAAGGTGAAAAAAATAGTAATAAAGATAATACCATAAATACGACTTCAGATTAATATTACAAATGTAAATTTTAGTGAACAGGTTTCCAATATATACAGGAAAAGAATCTGTATATGCTAGGATAAATATGATCTTTCCACACAAGCAGTTGAAAAAGAAGAGTTTAAGCTCTAAGTCTGATGATGACTCTTTAAAAATTAGATGTTATGTATTGCTTGTTATCCTCAATATGTTTTCTGTAATGAAATGTTGACAGATAATACCATGATGCTCTCAGAATTTTAGCATCTTTTCCAAACATAGCTCAGTGAACTTTCTAATTAATTAAGCCAATTAAATGTTTTGTTCTGAATAATCACACACACACAAAAAACAAAATAGTGCTATATGAAATAATCTGCTTTGGTTACTAAAGTCAATGAACATCCATAATGTTAAACGTACCTCTCTAAAGTTATATATTTTTATAATAAAAAACAAGTACAAGTTAACTCTTCAACAGAAGTTTGAAAATAAATAAAACCACACTTTTACAAATGTCAATAATATCTTGACTATATAATATATTAATCACAGTGGAGATGACTTAGTTTTCAAGGGTTTAACTATTTTTCCAACACTTGATATTTCTTAATTTTTAGGAGGAAAATAATGGATTATACTATAATAAAGACATTCAAATCCTGCAACAGAATAGAAAGAAATTTTTACAGGGCCAAATTCAACTAGAGAAAATTAGAGATATATTTGCCTCTTTTCTCCCAAGTTGAAACATTTAGCCCTCCTATTTTTAGGTGTGAAATGGTTGTCAATCCAATGTGATGAAGTGCTGAAAGCAGTCTTCATTCAGTGAGAAATCTCTCCACAATGTCAGATCTCTGTTCAATCCTGATGCATAGAACCAGGCAGAAGCAAGATTACATAGTGGTTAAGACTACAGATGCTAAAACTAGACTGCTTGAGTTTGTAGTTAGTTAACCATTTTGTGACTCAGTTTCCACATCTGTAAAAGGGGAATATCACATAGTTCCTATCACCTAGGTTGTTGTGAATATGAAAGGATTTAGCATATAAAAAGCACCTAGAAAATTCCTGACACATATGAAGTGCTAGGTTTGTTATAGCTTACCTATAAATGCCTGCAGATCTTTGCAGACATCCCAGTGACCTGTAATTATTTAGTAGAAATAAAGAATGAGATGAGAACGGGGATGTGGATCTGACCTCTGACAAGATTCCCACGATGAAGCCAGATACAGAGACAGATTGCAACCAGTACAATGTCTCTCGCTGACATAAATATTTCTCTGAAATGATGTTGTACTTTTATTTAAGACTTAATGTGAATCTTTTAAAGCTAAACCTGATGTCCATCTGTGGTCCAGATGCCCCATGAATCCATTAAAGAATACTGGAAGTTTTCAGAATCCTGGGCCATGAGGGACTCAAGCCCTACAGTGTGTGGAGCTATTGCAGGATTTAAGGATGTTCAATCCAAGAACAGACTTGGAGGCAACACTCACTTAAATGCAATATTTTAAAGAGTGTCAAGTATAAGAGATGAGAGGTTTTGTTTTTTTTCATGAATCCCCTGAAGACAGAATTGGAACTGCTAAGTAGCCGTTAGAGTGAGCATTCCAGCCCAATCTGAGAAAGAACTTTCTGTCAGTCAGAGCTGTCTGGAAATGAAAGGAAATGGTTTTTGACCTGCCTATTACCAAGAGCTGGATGCAAAGGGTTTACAACCAGGGCTTTTGTGAAAGGAGTTGAAGTTTGCTTTTGGACCCCATTCCCTCCCAGTCTAATCAGACAAGCAGACTTCCTGAGGAGAAAGTCTTTCCTAGTGAATCCTACCGACCCCTACCATACCGAGAGCAATTGTCCTTAGATTCCCACGAGTAGAGTCAGGGCACTGGCCTTGACTTGAGTTCGTTGGCTGAGACAGCCAACTCCTCAATTTTATAGCAGGATGCAAAATCCCCATCCTGCTGAACTTAAAGAGGATAGTGATGTCTAACCTGGTGATCTTGCTCATGATTGTGATGGCGATAGTAGTGGTCCCATTGCTGTTGCTGCTGTCTTCCCTGTGTTGGGTTCTATCCCAGGACTGAAGTGTTCCTCTGTGACTTTTTTTTTTTCCCCCCACAGAGGAAGGGAGAGGGATAGAGAGTTAGAAACATCAGTGAAAGAGATACATCAATCAGATCCCTCATGCACAACTCTTACTGGGGATGTGCCTGCAACCAAGGTACATGCCCTTGACCAGAATCAAACCTGGAACCTTTCAGTCCACAGGTGGATGCCCTGCCCACTGAACCAAAACGGTTAGTGCTCCTCTGTGTATTCTTAACGGTCAATCCCTTCTTTCTTTCAGGCCGCTGTGCTCGCTGTGGGGAAAATGTCATTGGAGAAGGGACAGGATGCACTGCCATGGACCAGGTCTTCCATGTGGATTGTTTCACGTGCATCATCTGCAACAACAAGCTCCGGGGACAGCCCTTCTACGCCATGGAGAAGAAAGCCTACTGCGAGCCCTGCTACATTGTAAGTGCAGATTTGGTCCTCAGGTACTTTGCAAAGATATCTTCTTTGACAAAGTGCCAGTCACTCCAGATAGAATGTTGCTATCAGATCTTGACTCTACCCCAGACTTCACAATATGTGTGCATGTAAATTGGCATATCTTAATTTTTTCCATGTGTTCATGTGAAAAAGGTGTGTTGGGATGGGGCTGCCATTCAATTAGTGGTCTTCTAGGAAGATCATCACCGTGTGGATTTCATGCTTGTATGTATTAGCTAAATTGTTATCTATCATAGCATCAGAGAGTTTCCCAAGTGGCAATATTAGGTGTCACCCTGAATTGTCAGTATTTGTTGAGAAATGTTACAGGGCCTCTGGACTTGTCAATGCATTTTTAAACTCCTGGTTTCTTTGAATCACCTCTTTTCTACCAGGAAGATTTCTTACCTATCATACTCAGAGGTTTTCAATGATGTACATTGAGAAACTCTTTATTATACTGCACCTTAAAGGGAAATGAAGAGTAATGCTGACTGAGCTAAAAATTGCTGATGTTGTCTTTTTGATGAACGTGACAAATATATACTTTAATAACATCAGTGGGTGACTAAAATACACTCGTAGTCACATTATCTTAGCTTTTGGCCAGTTTATTCACATGTATACATTAAGCAATCATATGATACAGCAATTTAATGAATGAACAGAATATTTTGTTAACCTACAGCAATTGTCTTTGTTATCCTTCTGCATGACTTTAATGTGTCTGCTGAACACTTATAGGTAAAAAAAAAAAAAAAGGAGTGCTTTTTGCAAATCTCCAAAAGAGCCATGGTTTGGCCCTCAGTGCCCAAGTATCCCTATTATAAAAACCCTTGGCCACGACATTATCATGCCGTCATGCCATCACAACCAAAGACTGGTCACCAGGAGGCTACATGCAACGTGGGTGCTGCATGCAAGGTGCACGTGGGTAGCTGTAAATATTTCTTTCTTTTCCACGTCCAGTGTGGCTAGAGAGCAGTCCAGTTCCTGAGTAGGGGCAGCTGGGGATTGAGAAAATGAAAGAAAGAGACAGACACGGAGATAGAAGTAAAAAGCTAGGGCCGGGTAGGATCACTGAACGCTGACATGGACAGGAACAGGAACAGTGACCCAGATCCCATTCAGCATGTTTATTTTATACAGTGAGAAAAACAGGAAGTTTTACTAAAAGTCAAAACAAAGGAGATTATGTGCATTTTAGGATGGGCCTGAGTCCTATTCACTCCTGGTGCTTGCCTGGATTTACATAATGAAACCCATTCCCTGGCATCTGGGCAGAAATAAGGTCAAGCTGACAACACTTCTGCCTTTTGGCAAAATGTTTTTTCAACACTGGCTTTGCCTACCACCATAGATTTATTAGCTGACAATTTAAATAAATGCCAGTGTGCTTTCCCAGACGCTTTCTATAGGTGGTCAGGGCTGTGTGCATGGCAGGGCATGCATGGGTGGGCAGGGACTTGTCTCTGGGTCCCATGTCCTGCCCTGCATAGCAGGTGTCAGTCTGGGTCCCTTCTCCTGCCTGGCTCAGGTCCTGCTGACATGGTGGGTCTGGGTCTCCTGCAATATTGCTTGCTGGGCCTCTAGTGTCAACATAGAGGAAGCTTTTGGTGTAAGACATTGGGAGTTATAAATGCCTTTGTAGATTCCCAATTTTTAAATTGATTGCAGAAGTACCTGGCCTCCTTGGCACTTTCCCATAACCTGACAGCTCTAACTCATTGCAGCCCTGGAATCTGTAGCACAGATCTAAAGTTTTTTTGAGATAAAGATCTTATAAGATTTAATATTGTTTTGCATTTCTTAGGCTTAATTTTATTTCATTTTTTCTCCCCAAAGACAACTTAAACACTCGTATAGCATCATTATAGTGCCATGCAATGTTGGAACTGGAAAAAAAAAATTTTGGAAGATCATTAGTCTAACTCCTCTCTTTAGAAGTAAGAACACAGGGAAGCAGACAGGAATACAGTGACTTCTTATCTTCTGTCGTTAGTGTCCAAATCAGGGCTATATTCAGTTTTGGCACTCTTAGTCCCGTGTTTTTGTTTTGTTTTTACAGACATCACACAATTTTAGTTTGTCCAGAACATAAAGACCAACACAGTAAGGTCCTGTTGATCTGCAAGGAGCAATTGCATATCAGGGGAAGACAGTGAACAAAAGCTTACCTCTGTAGTGAATGGGAATATTTCAAATATCACCCTTTGAATTCTGTGTTGAAAAGCGAAAATTACACCCTCCCCCCCCGCCTTTGTCATTAGATTGTGCAGACTGTCATTTGCAGTGACTTTCACATAGGACCACCATTATAAAATACTAGAGGGGCCATCCCTCAGCCTGGCCTGGCCCTTATCACAGTCCAGGAGCCCTCAGGGGTGGGAGATGGCCCAGCGATCAGGGGAAAGTGATGCTCCATCACACCTCTGCTGCTGCTACAACCAGCAGGGCAAGCCTTAGCTGGCCCTGGTTACCTGAGTCTTGGGCAGTCCTGAGAGGCTAAGCAGACACCATCTGAAGCTTGCCTGTGCCTTGGGCCAGCCCTCAGTGGCTGGGCATCTGAGGGGCCTGGGGGAATCTGGAGACAGGTGCATGGCAAGGTTAGGCCCACCCAGCCTTGCTGCATGCTGCCCCAACGTGGCTGAGGAGACAGGATGCCTCCACAATCTTGTGGCTGTGGACGCCACCATCTTTCAGGGTGTGGCAATTAGTATATTCCCTCCTTATTGGCTGTGGGTGCCACCATCTTTGTGATGGTGTGAGGGTCAATTAGCATATCCTGTCTTTATTATATAAGATGCTAGTCATAGGGAGCTCTGATGGTGATGTCAGCAGAGCCTAGAGAAGCAGTTATGCATGGCTGTTAGTCCTTATACTAAATAAGCACAGGCTGCTGAGATTTTGTACCTCTGGTGTCTTTTCTCCATCTTTTTTTGGACTGCCTTGTTGATTCTTGCTACTTTAATGAACCTCATTTAGTTTTTCTTTATCCTTATGAGCTAGGAATCTTATAAATAATATTGGAAACAATGTACCATGATGTAAAGAATGTGTCTGGATTTGGTGCTATCATTTAATGTCTTGTCTCCTTGGGAGAGTTATCTGATCTTCCTAAGCCTCAGTTTCCTCATTTATATAGTGGGTGCTTTCGGGATTTTCTTGAAAAATAAGGTTTGTGGATATGAAATGAGGCAATCCTTGTAAAGTACACTTGGCTTGCTCAAGGAATGATAGTGAAATACAGTACATGCTATTCTGAGGTAAATTTTGACAGGATATCTGGCCTATTTAGTCTGAAAATGAGGACCTTCCATGTGCAGGGAGATTCAGCAGGCTTTAGAAAATTGTTTTACCCTGTCAGACATAGCATTTTAAATGCTTTGCTTGCTCTCCTGAATATGTAATAAAACCAAAGAAAGTCCAATCTGGCTAAATTATGGATTTCTGCAGTGAGTAGACTCGGATTTCTCTCCCCATTCCAGGTGATATTTCAGGCTGTAGCTCTTAGCTTCGGTTGCCTGATACTATACAATGTTTATGGCAAGGAACACTGTCTGGGAGGTACTCAGTCACATCCTTCCAAGACCTGTGTGAATTCAAATAATGAAAATTCTTGCCATCCTTTTGACTTTCCTCCCTCCTCAGAAAATTTAATCATGATTTTTCTTTAATGAGATTTATCCATGGTGATAGTAAAATGTAATTGAATTCTTATCAGAGTTCAGTTAAGATTTATTCAGAGACCCTTGTTCAATATTGATTTCAGAGTTCAGCCCAGGCCTTAAGCCCCACATTGGATGTGTTAGCATTTTAATTTCTTCTGAACTTTCATAAGTCCAATAAGCTGCCACATTAGAAATGTGGGGATGGGAAAACTGTGTGTATATATCCCTCTTGGAAGCAAAGCCCTTAGAACACACACCTGCAATGGCATTCAAATTGCCTCTTATTCCATTGGTGGAAACTGATATCTGAAAGATGTCCTGTACAAAGCAGGGAAAACCAGGCACCAAGCCTCAGTCAGTGTTTTGTTTTGTTTTGTTTTTTAAATTGATATAATCAGAATATTAAAGATAGTAGTTTATTCATTTCTCTCCTAAGACCACCCATGTTTGATGCTCTGGAGTCTAGGAAGGAGACCAGTCTAATTTTTGCCTAAATTCATCAACTGTAAATCATATTTAAGTTGAACATTTATATCATTTTGAGGGAAACTTTGTTTCACTGATCATTCATCTTTTCCTTTATTCTCTTAAATCCTTAATCCTTGCACATGCATACCTATAATGAAATAAGCTTGACTCTGTATGGTATTGTAATTCTCTTTAATCATTTTATACATGCTTTTTTTATATTTACTGTCGATTGACTTCATATAAATATTTATATAGCTTCCCATGACTAATAATCATTACTTTTAGCTCTTTATATAGTTTTACATGCTTACACACTAAATTTTAAAACCATTTGCCACTAGAATGATATTTCTAATTTTCCTAATTTCTTAGTATTATTAATAGCATTAGAGGCTCGGTGCATGAAAATTTGTGCACTCCAGTGGGCGAGGGGGGAGGGTTCCCTCAGTCCAGCCTATGCCTCTCGCAAGCCGGGATCCCTAGGGGATGTCCACCTGCCAGCTTAGGTGTGTTCTCCAGGGAAACAGGCCTAAGCTAACAGTCAGACATCTCGCTGGCAGCCCGGGAACCCTCAGCAGATGTTCACCTGATGGCTTAGTCCTGCTCCCTATGGAGAGCGGGCCTAAGTCACAGTCAGATATTCTTAGCACTGCCCCAGAGGCAGGAGAGGTACCAGCCACTGCCACTGTGCTCTCAGCCATCAGCCCAGCTTGTGGCTGAGCTGAGCTCCCCTTGTGAGAGTGCACTGACCACCAGGGGGCAGCTCCTGTGTTGAGTGTCTGCCTCCTGGTGGTCAGTGTGTGTCATAGAACCAGTTATTCCCCCTTAGGGTCAATTTTC